GTCAGTAATGGGTGTAGATTTCAAATCATAGTTAATTTTGATATGTTGTGTCTTTCTCCAAGAATTAGGCATCTTCTCTTTATCACCAGGAATTGAATTTGTCAAATCTTCACCTGTAACCTTCTTACCAAGAACCGCTTGCACAAAACTCATTTTCGATAGCTCAGAGGAACAATCAGGAGGAAGCTTATCAATTAATGTAGAAGGGTTGTTAATAAAATTTTGATTATTCGCATTTATCTCTGGCCTAAGGTCAGAGATTGCATTTGAACAACTTAATTTATTAACAAAAATCTTCACATTAGAAGAAGAAGCTTCACCATCATTTTTACTCCGGATAAAATCAGCAGTAGGCTTCTTAGGAGTATTATCAACAGGATGATGAATACAACTTTTTCCTTTTCCAATAACAACTTCAGCAGACTTCTTCAAAGGAGAATCACTAACCTCTCTGATAATTAATGGTCCCACAAATGATCTAGCGTGAACCTTATCTCCACCAGAATGAAGCTTCGATTTATCTGTAACCCTGATGGATCCTTCGAGATGTTCAGTAAAGGTAGACGCGCCAACCGAAGATCGGCGGCCGTCCTCCATCATCGCCACTGGCCGCCGACGATGGTAGCTAAAAACCCGCGAATTGAAAATTCAAAAACTTCCGCTGTTTCTCTCTCTAACGGCTGTTCCTCTCCCCCGTACAAAATTCTTTCATGGATATTACTTAGAGTTGATAGTGGAATCCTTTAGATCGATCTTAGGAGAAAAGATTTCAAGAGACACAACTTCCATTTCCTCCAAGCCCTCTTTGTTTTCCTTATCATTTAACTGATTGTTTTTTATTGAGCTCACATTCACTTTCACATTTCTCCTTAAAGACTTGATTAACATCACATTCAATAATGTCATTATCAAGACAAAGGGACTTCCCAATGTTTTCCTCCATCCCTTGGTTTACAACCAAAACATTAGTTTGCATGACATCCTCAATTTTGTCCCCAACAACATTCTCATCAACATCCACTGTGGTATGTTCCTCTTCCTTATCGCTATTCATACTATTTTCACTATCTTTGTTATCCTTGTCCAACAAATCCTCCCTCCTTAATGCAATATCTAAAGGATCGGTCTTTATGCCATCTTCACTAGCTTTAGATTCTTCCAAACATAGGGTTTGTTCTTTATCATTTGGAATAATTAGACCTGCCTGCACAATCAACTCGCCATTGATTTGCTCAACAATAGTTTTGGAGGTCATATGGTTCTTCTTAAGTTGAGGGTGAGCAACAAAGCAGTCATTAATCGAATGCCCGTGAATTTTATATTGTAAATAAAAATCAAGGAGCTTTGCAAACTCAACTTTCTATAGATTCCAACATTTTTAGAGTCAAGCCATACATATTTGGGATGCTTTTTAGTGATATCAAGCTCCTCTAGGATCCGAGCCACCGAAGGCCTCAAAAGAGAGGCAGTTGCTTGATTCATTTGAAGTGGCCTACAAAAGATAGAACCCAAAGCATGTAGAACATGAGAGTTAAAGAAATGAAAATGTAAATTAGGAAATGAAATTTGTATCTAAACAATAGGCGTTTTTATTTAACGTAAGAAAATGGAGTCCATTTAAGTAATCTCATTTGAAAGTTTAGAATGTAATAAGCTCTCCTAGCAAAAACCCTACTATAATCAAGATCATTAGATAACTGGATTGAAATATGTCTAGCATCAAGCAAACTAATAGAGAAATTACCAGATAATTTAAAATTCCCAAAATGTTTTGTATCGCATCAAGGTTTGGTCAACAATCTGAAAACTTACCAAAAAGTGTAAACTGATAAGGACTCGCATGCTTCTGAATATCATCATCGGACATCAAAATCACAGGATAGCCTTTTACCATCGATTTATTGAACAAAAAGTAGGATTTTTTGAAGAGGAAGATCTCACCAACACATCACAAAAAGAAAGAGACCTAGAACCAAAATCACCACTATTCAAAAAACCTTTCGAGGGAGCAATCGGTGCCGAAGGTGGAACACCTCAAGCATCAAGTATTATAGAGGGTGGACCCCCTCCATCAGGAGAGGAGAATGACAAAAGGCCAAACGGCCTAAAAAAAGGAATGAATCAAGGCAACAAAACCAAAATAAAAAAATAAGACCTGAAAGTAGTAGAAGAAACCACGAAGATGAATAGGGGGAACGAGAATCACACTCGGATTCGCCAGAGCACCAGAGCTAGCCATTGTAATCAAAATCCAAATATGGTAATTGTGCTTTTTTTCTAGTTTATCTAGATAAAATGCTAATACCTATGTGTTTCATTTCTTAATCGGAGCTGCAATCAATGTCATTTAACCCTTACATAACTATAAATGAAAAACTTAACTTTAGTGACTTAATTCTACATTTATTAAGAGAATTAATTTTCCAAAGATCTAGAATAAAAAATGTCCTATAAGCTTAAAAAATTAATTATAGAACCATTTGGTTTCACCAAGCCAAGATAAAATCAAAGGATGTACAATACATCCCCTAGTTTACCCTGTTTAAATTTTAGACCAAGAATATATATATTTGGAGAGTAAAAATTAAAAATAATGGAGGTTTAAAAGAAAATAACTAAAAAAACATGCATCAAATGCTTTGATTATATTTATAAAATGTAAATCTCATTACCCTAGTT